CATTGTCCTAAGAGCATGAAAAAGAAGTCAAGAATTCCGATGCCGAGTGGAAATGGAATAAATCCATTTGGTGGCACAACAAGGAGCTGCGAGCTGCTGGGTAACTCATTTTTAACTCATTTTTTGTTCTTTGTTTTTGTAGAACATTTATTTCCATGTTAGAATACCAATACACTTGCTTGTGTTGCGGGTCCTAAGAGAGAGAAACAAGGACGAAATATATGGAAAAGCTGGTCATGGGGACTATATTGAAGTTGCACCTTGTTCCTGTTGGGCCTACTGCGGATGTGGCTTCACCTCAACGGCACGATTATTGACCTCATTAAATAGTCCCTACGAAATTCGCCGTCAATTCTTCCCATATCTGCTCCTTCATCTCTCCCATCTGGACACAGGAGAATTCGTAAAGTAAACGCCACAAAGTTGGTTGAGATTTGAGAACCCATAAACAAATATATAAGTAATCGAAGTCAATTAATTGGAATTTGTGTTCCTATTAATGAAAGTCTTGTCTACGCATAAATACTCCCTCCAATCTCAACAATACCAACCTCCCTCCTTCTCTCTCTCTCCCTCCATTGTTTTTATTGTCTTAATATCTTTCTCTATATAGAAGGAAGTCTTAACTGGGCTTTCACACTTGGTCATTGTGGAGGCTTCAAAAAGGGGCTGTAAAGTTTGAACAAGACTTTTAACAGGATTCTCAAATTTTGTCATGCGATCCTTAAGAGGAGAGGAGTTGTGATGTGTTTAGTGAGTGAGTTGCATGATGAAGAGGACACAAAAAGTCAGATGGAGAGTCCCCTAGTAGCATGATGAAGCATAAAATGATAATCAATCTCAATATGTTTGATATACTCATAACACAAATCATTATGAGTAATCTGAATAATGCTTCAATTACCACAATAAAGTGTGTGATGCCCATATATTTTGTAATCGATAAAGCCAAAGAAATTTCCATTATTATGTTAATATTTGTGTTAATAATGGTTTAGGTGTGATAAGAGATTTCTTGGTTCACTTAACATTAATCACATAATAAGCTAAGCGTAGGTTTACAAATCACTTATTTAATCTCAAATCCCATGCTGGGAAATACCAAACATGATTTGAAAAAAGATTTAATTCCCTAGAGAAGTTAATAACGGTTGAAGCAAAAATTGGTAAATAAAGCTACTCTAAGCATTTCCAAAGAATTTGATTAAAGAGAATTTGTAGTAATAGAGATGACAATGAATACTTTATAATGGGATACTTTGCATTACTCGAAACGATCAAGTAGAATTAAAGTATTTTATAATTGAGTTTAAGTAGGATTTGGATAATAAATCTACTATCCATCGGAGGACAAGGTAGGATATAAGTAGTAATCATAAAATGCTATCAAAATCAAATTATAAATAATATTTTTAATATTAAGTTTTAGTTTAATATATTTTTTAACAAATTACTTATAATTAATATAATACTTATGAAAATTCATTAATTGTATATGATTTTAGATTTTAATTTATTTTTTATGTGTTAACTTTAATCTATAAATTAAATTTCATCAAGAATATATATAAAAAGTTGATTCTAAATTTATTTTTAATTCCAGATAAGCGTTTGAGTTTGTACATTTTACAAGTATTAGTAGTTAGGTGCGAAAAATAAGTGTTGAATTTTAATCAAATTTAAGTAAAATATAAAAAATTATATTTTAATCCAAACTCAGATCCAAATAGTTAAAATTTAAGAGTATTTTTTGTCCTATAAGGTTAGGATGTAGTAATGGTAGCGTTTCAGGAAGGAACAAAAGAAAAAGGAAAGCGGGAGGCAGCAGCCACCAAACACGCCTTGGACGGACTCAGAATACTCTGATGGTTTGCTTAATTATTTTACTCGCATTTAAGGAAGCCTTGTGCAAGGCGCGCACCAGTAATAATGATTGCTTTCGTCAAAGCTTTGAAAACAAAATCCGCGCGGGCATGGGCTTCTGCTCATGACGTGATTCCCCCATATTAATTACGGTATAACACAGCTTATAACCCATTTAAATGATTAACATGATTAAATTTTTAAAAACAATTAAATTAAAATGCATATAAATAAAATATAAAGCCATGTTTCAAACTTAAAATTAATAATTATAAAAAACTATAACAAAACAATAATATCCATCAATCATGTGAAAAGTCTTCAAATAAATAGTTAAATAATTAACATTGATGTTATAAACAAATAACAAGCGTATACGTTAATATGATTAATTAAACAAACAATAAATGGGTAAAAGGTTATATAAGTAAAGGGCAACCTAATAAACTAAGCGTGTTAATTAGGTTAAACGGTTTGATATTTTTTAAAGTATAAAATTTATAAGTATTTGAACATGTTAGACATGATTAATACACAATTATATTAAACTCAAATCCACTTTAAATTTTAATGTGTATTGTGTCGTATTTACTTGTGTTATACAAAATGATTGAAATAAATATGGCAGAACATAAGGGCGTGTGGTGCGTGCAACCAAATTCCTAGTGCCATTATTTTAATTAGCCAAGCTGTTGCCATCCCCTGATTTGGATGGACATTTTCTTGAGGGAACCTTTCGCTGATTCGTTCATATAATATAAATAGTCGTCTTCAAACGGGTCCCGTTGCCAATTCATTGTATATTCATGCACCCATGGGCTACACCTATTTTTTTTATTTTTCCTGTCCACAGATTTATATGTACATACCCACCAACACCTTGATTCATCTGATCTTTATACCAGGACTACATCTTTTCCATCTTTTGCTTGTAAGGGATGATTTTTTTTTATATTTATTTGAAAATTTGTTGTTATTTTATCTTTTGAATTGTAAATATAAGTTTTTGACAAGTTGTAAGTTTTCATTTTTTATTAATATGAGATGAAATATATCAAGATCAAAATAGATTTGGATCAGTAAATAAAAGCTTTTTTTTTTACTTAATAGGTATGTTTTTTCATTGAAAAGTGTGAATCCATGTATCCAAATGAAAAGAAGGAAACCCTTATGGCAAACTAAGCTTAATTAATTATAAAATTCTCTCTCTCTCCTTCTTTTTGATCTAAAAAGGTTAGGATAATTATATGATTTAATCTCCAAAATTAAGTTAAGATATATCACATCCTACAAAGATAAGAATTGTATTAATCCGAAATGACTTGACAATTTAATGTATCTCTCATCTTTGGTATTTTCTCTTTGATAATAAAGCTCATGCTAAGAGGTTGTACGCCAAAGCGCTTTGTCAGCGTCTGAAAGGAGAAAAAAACTAGACAAAAAATAAAAAATGCAGTACCATTTAGGTAGTTTGCTTTGCCATTTTCTTGGTACAACTATTTTGGTAGGTTTGGTGAAACAAAAACTAGTACCAAAACAATTTCAGCCAGTGCTCCACCTTCATTTATTTACATATTCTTTTCACATCACAACATGGAGTGCAAGGAAATATCTTCTGGTGCTGTGCTACATTAATTGTTTTATCCAAATCCCACCTCCCAATCTTACCATTCAAGCTGCGGTCCAAGGTTAAACCGGGAACAAATTAACTCAGGTTAGACAGGAAACTAAGATTATCACGTAGGAACCAATCATTAACAACAAAATCAACAGGGACAGGCAGAAATGGTGTCGCTGAGGCTGAGGCTGAGGCTGAGGCTGACGTGTCTGGGGTGAAGTTTAGTTACTGTAAATTTCACCTCTTGCGTTAGCCCTGCAATCCGAGAACCATCAATTCAATTACGTTCCGGCTTTTATTTCTCAGTAGTCAATTCAACGCAGTACGTAACCATCAACAGCGATGGACGTTGACGTCAGCTGTTTCGGCTTCGACGCCAGCCATTGACATTGTGAGTTGTGAGTATATCTGTAATCAAGTTGCTTTGTAATTTACACGCCATTGAACGAAGATTTACCTCCAAACATATTGCCAGACAAAATCTTTTGGAAAGGACTGGTTTTTCCTTCACATGCAAAAATCCAAAAAAAAAAAAAAACCGAAAACTCAAACGTGAGTTAGACAAAGTGGGGGTTCGGCGAACGAACAACAAAGCAACAACCGAGGCGTGGCCAAACAATTAGCAGGTCCACGAAACTCTATCTGTGCCAGGCTTCCCACACGTTCGCCTAATCACACTGTGCCACCTGGCATGATGATGGTGGGACCTACAGAAACATTGCAGCAGAAGATGGACTAATAATTCTAAAAAGGAGAAATAATAATAATAATAATAATAATAATATAGTAATAATAGCAAGGAGGAGGGGAGATGCCTTACGCAGGCTGCAACAACTGCCGTCGCTAGCGTGAGATGAGACCCTTTACCCATTTCCCTCTTGCATAAGAGTAATCTGAAAGAAACCACAAAAGCAAAAATAATATGAATTTTTGAGTTCTTTATTAATTAATTAATAATAATACTACTCTCCCTCCAAAAGGAAAAAAAAAATGGTAGTTTTCGTTTGCGGTTGTAAATGTGATTGTTGTTGTTGTTGATGATGATGATGTTGCTGTTCCTCTTTGTTTAACTTTCTCTTCTCTCTAAAAATCTCCGCTCCCTCCTCCATTCTGTCTTTTGTTTTGCCTTTTCGAGGATGGTGATATCACAGGGAGTTGAATTGATC